TCTCTCCTTCCATGTCTTCCATATATAAATATATAAATATTTGTCATTATATAGACTGGTTTTAAAGAAAAAGTGAGATTTTCTTTGTTCATCTACTTTTATACCTCAGAATTCTATATAAAAGTACTCAACGAATTTGGTTCTGGACGTGCGTTCAGTGAAAACGGAGCTATTGTAACGACAGAACCGCCCGATGTTATGACTTAGTGTAATGCAAACCCACACTAAAATACTTAATCCTTATACTAAACCAAACAAACATTTTATTTTTAAGATCTCGATTCGCTCTCAAATCAACATAAAAATCAAAAATAATTTTTAACAACAAAAACATCTCTTTTGTGAAACAGACAAAAAAATATTAGTTTTTAAATATATTAAACTTAAGACCAATCGGACGATACACTCCATTAATTAAACTAATTATTATTATTAAGTAATGAATCGCTCGCTTTTTCGATGATATAAATTATTATTATATATATATTATAAATGATTGGATTTCTTGTTCTTAATTCTCTGTTTATTATCTATTTTTCTTTGTATTCATATCTTAAACAACAAAACTGTTTTTATAAATAAATTCAATAAAAATCTTTCATTAAAAATCTTTTATAAACTATTCATTAATACATTAAAATTATCAGTAATTTGTTATAAAATTTTTAATAAAACTCATTTGGAAAACACTTCAAACCGATAGACAAACCGCCAAAACGAGTCAAATATAGGAATCGGCAAAAGTTCCGCAAAAGACACGATAAGAGCGTCCAAAATACCAGAGCATTGATACCTAACGTTCGGCTCATCGGAAACAACAGCCCGTATGAGAGCGTCGATCACTTCGTTCTGATCTTCGCGAACGGACGGCGAAGTCTCAGACCAAACCCTGTCCTGCATTTGATTCACAGCTTCTAACTGTGCTATCGGTGTCCTATCAGTCAATACAATACTAAATATTAGACAAAACTTTTAAATGTTGTAATAAATGCAGTGAAATACCGATAACAAGAGGGCTCAACACTGATTACTTTGACGCCAAACCTAAACATTTCTCTCCTTAACGAGTCGTTAAACGCGAGTAAAGCGTATTTCGAGACACAGTAAGCGCTGTAGCCATCGATGGCCAGTCGGGAGGCGAAGCTCAACACATTCACCACTCGTCCGCCCGATTGGCGCAAAAGTGGCAAACATTTTCGCGTCACACGAATGGCGCCCAACGTATTCACATCCAGTGTCCGCCGATACGCGTCCACCCCTTCACCCCATTCGGCAAACCCGGCGTGAAATACACCCGCGTTGTTGACCACTGCCCACAGTTTAAGGTTATTAAGTCTCAATATATCGGATATTTGCTCAAAAGTGACATCAATTTGTGTGTCATTAGTGATGTCCACTTCAATGGCGTGCAATTGATGTGCAAATACGGCTTTTTGAGCCAATTGTATGACACCATCGCTATTAGCGTTTAGACATAAGGCGATGGTATGGAAACCCAATCGATTCAATTGAAAAGCCAGTCCATTACCAAAGCCAGTGTCACATCCAGTTATGATGACTGCCCGACCTTTCGGACAAATAGTACTTCTTTGACGTATATATCGGTTGTATATTTCACTTGTTTTCCATCCAATTATACACACACCAGTCCATTACCAAAGCCAGTGTCACATCCAGTTATGATGACTGCCCGGCCTTTCGGACAAATAGTACTTCTTTGGCGTATATATCGGTTGTATATTTCACTTGTTTTCCATCCAATTATACACACGATTAGAGCACTTCCCATAAAACTGAGTACAATATTGATTGACTCGTTGTATAACATTAACAAACATATTATGAGAGTTGATATGAAAAATGCTTTGAAAGGCATTTTTCAATTGCTTTCTAAATTTTCAAATACACCAGAAGTGGTGACACAATCGCAACAGTTATCATATATTGGAAACACTAACTTCTTTTGATCGTAAAAAACAATTGAAAACAATATTTCACTTTTTATTACAATTAATATCACAACATATAGAGTAGGATTAAATGCGATTTCACGTTTGCCTTCACTCTCGGTCTTAACAACTAATGCATTTTCTTCGAAACACAGAATAAAGTTATAAACATTTGTGTCTTTATTTTTAGTCAAACAATTTCTGACTTATATTCCGGTAAATTCATAGACATAACACTTTTCACTGATTTTGTATTGTTTTTATATGTTTGTGATTTTTCAATAAAAAAATACATTTTATTTTTTGTGCTAAATATTATGCAGTCGTGTCTCTGACCGTAAACTTACGAGCGATTCATTAAAACCTGTTTTTCATGGTTTACGTCAAAATATATTCAAAACCATTGGATTTAATTTCGCTTATCTCTGAGTCCAGCAGCTGTTGTCGGCACACATTATGTACGGCCTCTCAGTCTTTGTGTGTACACTATTTTTATTGCTATTTTAGACTCAAATAGCGTTAAAAATGTACTTTTTTGTAAAGAAAGTGCATTCAATTCAGCGAATTTCAACACATTTGCAGATAATGGGAAATATAAAAAATAATAGCATTTATTTTTAATTAAATCTTGATTTTTTTAATTTTCTTATTCTGATGTAAATTAATTTGTTTATAAAAATATTAATTCATTTACAAAAAATAATTTCATTTCATAAGAAATGTTATAAAAATAGATATTATAATAAAGTGTACATAAATTGCTGAGATTGTAATGTCGTATATAATAGTCAGAGATTTCTGACATATTTCCCCAGTCATAGAGTAATTCAATATAAATACACCGACTTTTGTACACTTTATCCATCATTTTTATGATTCCTCAACCAATGAATTCTGGGTTTAATTAACTCTTTGCGTCAAAACATGCAATACTTTTAGCACATTATGTTATAAGTGATCACTTGTATCGCTAGAAACCATTTGATTAGATTAGGAGCGGATCCCAAGTGTTTGCTTATTCAGCCATCAATTCCTTAACTATTTCTTTAAAAATGTCTAAATTAATTAAAGACAACCATTTGTTGCACTGCTTTTTGGATACATTTCATCTGTTTCTATGCAATTCATAGAATATTCTGTATTTTAATATTTAATTGCCTTCAATTTATAAACTGAATATTCCATTGTATTTAACCTAGTTTTGCATTTTATTGTAACCAATATATTCCAAACATAAGTGCATGTTATAAAACAAAAACGTTGTTAATTAGTTAAAGTTTATATATTTTTTATTTGTATACAACTAGAAATATAAAAAGCAGAAGTACTGTAGTATTGATTTAATACCGAGAAGTGGATACAAGTCTGCATTTATTGTCCATTTGATAAATAATATATACAATACTTGTCGGCCATCTCTGGGAATAGCTTACGGATTGAGAATGAAGTCATTCGGAGCTAAAAGTGCTGTCATTTGTAAGACATGAGTGCATATAAGCGAAGAAATACGACTTGTTTTTGAACCAAAAATCACATTCAAGTGAACATAAGTTTTGGAAAATTTTATTTTTATGTCAGACTTTATATCACTATTGTTTCCCTTTCAACGCCTTCACCATCAATGCTAATCATATATTAAACTCATATTAATCTTGCGTTTTATGCCATTTTATAACATTGAGAATATTCTTTATGTGTTATAAATGTTTTACACTATATAAGCAAATATGTATGAAGTTTAAAATAAATATACTGTATATACTTTATATAATTTGTATTAATTAGTTTTTATAGTTTAATATTAATATTATTTTTATTTGAGTAAATTTTTAAGTGGTTTTACATTATTATTACATTTAAAATAATAAATATTTACGCAATTTATCGTAACATTTAAATTAATATTAAATGAAAAGAAATGTGTGCCTGATTTGAGTGTTTATTACTTACTCAACGATCGCTTTCTCAATAAATATTAATTTAAAATATAAATTAACAAAACGATTGGTATCGCGAGTCGTGTGTCTCGTCGTCGGCACTAAAAGCTCACAAATTGTATGATAAATATGTTTACAAAAATGAGCGCTGAATTTGCTTTCAAATTGAAATCGCAAATAAAATCTTGTGTTTAGTCTCCGATGAATATATAAATTATATATTCAAATGTGTTTTGGAATTTCCTTTGGGTTTATCGGTGGAAACGTATATATAATAAGTTTCCCCTTTCGGAGAACGGATTTAATTATAAAAAACAATAAACACATAATATTTCAAACATTTTCACCCGAAATGCTTTTGCCATAAGTTTATGTCAAAGTATTTCTAATTTACAAATACATGCATTTGTGAACCAACAACACCTGTATTCAATCAATAGTGCTTTTTCTCACATTTATATCAAACATTAGTGAAGTGTTTATTCATTTATTTTGATTTGAAATATACATCAATTATTTTTGTCGTAAATAAAGATTTTCAAAAACAAATTCAATAGAAATATATGATATACTGATAATGTTATTAAAGAATATTCTATAACTGTGTGATACAAGAATATTCTTAGCTGTGGATGATTTATGGCAGTGCTCTTAATGAAAATGAAATCTCAATACTAAATCCGAGTAATATTTTATGTATTTTTAATGTAAATATATTTATAAAGCAAATAAGAAGTTTATGGCGAAATCGACAAAAAAAACTAGAGATTAAAGCTTTTTTAATTAAAATTTATATGAAGTATAACAAAATTGTATCGTTTATGCAGTACTTTCAATGTGTTTGTATACTATTGCTATACTATAAAAAAATTTAAAAATAATTTTTTAATTAAATTTTATTTTCATAAATTAATTTCAATTAGATATGAAATTCACTTTGATTTAGATGCAGAAATTTGTTACGGTATTAATTATTAAGTCTATTTAACGGGATAATGAATGATATGTCTGTCTCATTAAATTATTAACGTTTAAAATTAATTATTAAATAATAATATTGGAGGAGATTATGAGATTATTTGGCAATAAAGGCTAAACTGAATAACTTATAGTAATAATAGTAATAACAGATACTGAATAAAATTAGGGCAACAATTCTTATGCAATTTATATGGCGAGCCATATGTCGGGCGAAATGTAATATATTTACAGACTTTCGACGACTAAACACCAGAATATTGTAATGAAAATTAAGATTTACGATAAGATAAGGGAAACGAATAATGTTTGTATTGTATTGTATTTATTTATACTTAACATTAGTGTTACGATCGCCATAAAGATTAAGCAAAATTTATCTGTTTATTAAATAACATGATGGCAGACATGGAGAGAGAGAGAGAGAGAGAGAGAGAGAGAGAGAGAGAGAGAGAGAGAGAGAGAGAGAGAGAGAG